CTTCAAACTGTAATCAGTCAAAACACGCATCCAATTATACTAGGTGACCTTAACTCGAAACACCCTAAATTCAACTGCCGAAAAACAAACCGTAATTCTTCACGATTTCATCGACAACAACGGTCTTTTTGTCATCAATGATAACATCCCAATCCACACACACATCACAATGGTTCACAAGACATTCTCGATCTTGCAATCATTTCACAGTCATTAATCCCATATACAAACAGCTTTAAAGTATCAGAACACATCGGCGGTGATTACAACCCCATCTCATTCACCATAAATATCAACCCCCGCAATACAACACCAACCACACGCCCCAAAGTATTTGACTTCACTAAATCAAACTGGGACCGCGTAAAACTAATCAGGGATTCACTTCTACCCGAAGTTAAAACAACACCCAACTGCTCGCAACACATTCATACTTACGCTACAGTAATTACAAATGCTATCATTAAGGCAATCGAAAACACCATCCCACTGAGGCAGAAAAATATTAACATCAATCACTGGCAGTTAACTACAGAAATCCATAACTTCATAAAAACTAGAAGACGCTTGCGCAGACAATTTATTTTTATAAGAAACATAAACACTAAAACTCTAATGAATATCACAAACAACAAGATTAAAAAAACTAATCGCAACCCAGCGCAAAGTAAATTGGCAAAGCTTTTGTCAATCACTAGACAAGACCCAGCAAAGTTCTGGAAAAAGTTCAAACTATTTGCAATGACAAAACTGATCAAACAAACCACATAATTAAATATAACAACACCACAGTGACCAAAGACAAAGCTAAACTCTCCAGCAATTACTACTCCACAGCCTTCACCACTCCCAACACTAATACTTTCAACAATGATCATTTTACCAAGGTGAATAACTACGTCCAGAATAACAATTTAAAAAACGCCTCCGACGCACTCATTACCCATATCACAGCGATGTTTAATTTATCCCTCAAATCAGGATATTTCTCAATAACATGGAAATCTACAGTCATTAGCATCACCCCCCCAAAAAGTAACGACCTCAGTAATCCAAGCAACTACAGACCAATAAGCCTGCTCAACACTATAGGCAAATTAATGGTGAAAATAATCACAACAAGGCTGTTTTTCGACTTTGAATCCAATAATCTCCTCTCCGACACACAAAATGCATCACGCAAACAACGACAAACAACTGATCATTTAGCCAGATTAACAGAGTCAATACACAAAGGGTTTAATCGTAACCAAGCAACAATCGGTGTTTTCCTGGACGTCAGGAAAGTTTTCGATCCTGTTTGGCACCACCGCCTCAGATATAAGTTATGTAAATATAATATAACTATCCCACTCATTAGATGGATCTCGAGCTTCCTAACAGATAGAATCGCGAAAGTCAGGATTAATAGCAACATCTCACCTTCATTCCCTCTTAAAGCTGTAGTTCCCCAATGCTCGGTATTAATCCCGCTACTCTATATATTATTTGTGAATGACATAAACTTCCCCGAAACTCCCGAAACAACAGCTTCACAATATGCCGACGACATCTCTGTATAGTGCACGTCACGCAACCCTCTGCTTGCAGCAAACAAAATACAAGCCACTCTTGACCACATTGTAACGTGGTGTAATACATGGCGCTTGCTACTCAACCCACAGAAGGCACAAGCTATTATCCTCTTCCGAAGGCTTAAGCAAAACAACAACAGCAACAAAAATGTCAAACTAAAACTATATGAGACATCAATCAAATAAACGAACCAAATAAAATATCTCGGCTTAACCTTCAACAGAAAACTAACCTGGAACACACAATTCTCTGAAATAACGGTCAAGGCGCAAAAACGGATAAATTATCTATAGAAAAAAATCAGTGGCTTCGCCAAAGGTTGTAACGCAAAAACAATAATGACGATTTACAACGCCTATATTAGACCAATTCTTGAATACGGATGCCAAGTAACATACCGCAGCATTTTTACAAAAAAAAACTTGAATGTACCCAGCTAAAAACCAATTCGATTAGCCTATCGTCTCCCCGTCTACACACCCGGCTTTTACTTACATAAAATAAACAAATCAGTGACATTACAAACACTATTCTCAAACCTAGCAAACAAGTACTACGACAAGACTAAAACCAGAAACGACCTTTTCATAAAACTCGCCATCATCGCAGAAACACCAGCCACATGGACCAAATTCATCTCTCCCCTAAACCACATCATCTCACAAAACATACAACATTCACTTCAAGAACCACCTTGAGCGTTTTACCTTGTCCACCCCCATCTTTTTCAGGTTACCGACCAGAACGAACAATGGACCAAAATGTTAAAATTTTACGATTTATTTTTATAAACTGTCGTAATGTAAAATTATGTGTGTGTGTGGAAAGCCATTTATCATTCATTGTACTCAAAATAGCACAATCTGTTCAATGTAAATAATTTCAATGTAACTATCTATTATGATGCAATCAGCTTTGGTTCTGGTCTTGTGTCTTTTCTTGGACGGGGTGCATTGGTCCTCAGGGGTGGGCCTCGGCTGTCTGGATCTGCTGATCGTGTTTAGTTGATCAATCGTCACGCTCGACACACTTCCCTTCAATCAAGAAAGCAACCGCTCTTCCGATCTTCTTCATAGCATTCCCTCACGCTTAAACTACGAAAAATCAACAGCTCAGAGAAACAATTATCACATCCACTATACTTATCGTAAGCCACGGTTGGGGCGAAAAAAAATAACATCAATTTCTAAACAACCCCAGGTTTTCTAATAAACCTAAAATAACTACTAAGTCAGATAGGATAGGATTTGTTTTCCAAAATTTGTCTGCGTGGATGATAATAAACCTAAAATAACTACTAAGTCAGATAGGATAGGATTTGTTTTCCAAAATTTGTCTGCGTGGATGATTCTAGTTTTTTCCCAGTGTATTTTGTGTCCAGTTGACATAGCGTGTTCTGCAATGGCTGAATTTTGTATTTTCATGAGTCTTGTACTGTCTTTATGTTCTTTTATTTTTGTCGCGAGTCTTCTTCCCGTTTCTCCAATGTATGTTTCATTGCAGGAACATGGGATTTCATAAATGACGTTTTTGTGTTTCTCATTGGTAGGTTTCTGTTTTTTTACCAGAACGGACCTTAATGTCTTGTAGGATTTCCACCGAACTTCTATGTTGAATTTCTTGGCTATGCGTTTGAGTTTTTCACTGAAATTTTGCAGGTAGGGTAGGTAAATGGCAGTAATGGTAGTTTTTTTTTCTAATCTTTTCTTTCTGTTGTGTTCTTCTTCAGGGAGTTTTTTGATGAAGGAAGAGGTGTAACCATTTTGTTTAAAACCCTCTACGATCTTTTGGCGTTCTGTTTCGATGGATGTCTTATGGCAAAGTTTTCTAATTTCTCTCATTTTAAGTCTTCTGACGCTTTGTTTCATTTACTTTGGTTTTCACTTGATATTGTGTTCTTTTATTAATATTAATCTTGCTTCAGATTATTTTAATAAAGTGGTTCTTATAGTGTGGTCCACGAACCCTTGGTGGTCCGCTGGCTGGAACAAATTGCACAACGCCACAGCCGAAGCCATTATTTCCATTAATTCTGATGAGTTTTTTGCAGTGGCAAGCGAAAGCGTGTGGAGTAAGACTTGTAGGTGGTCCATGGGGTCTTTTGTCCCTCCGAAATGGTTTTTGGAGGAAAAAACTTTGAGAATCACTATTTTGATAAGAATGCTCAGGGAATTAGGGAAGATAACGAAAAGCCGAGAATCAATAGAACATATTTCTGGGTTAATGGGAAACATTTTGTAAATAAGTCGATATCAATTTCTTCAATAGATTCGAGATATTAAGCTGATTTTTAATTCCAGATTTTGTGTGGAATGATCAATGAAATTTTATTTAATCTCATTTTGTTCTTATGGTAATAATAGGAATTTTAGAAGAAATACTAACCATTCTAGAGAACTTCAAGAGAAGCTATAACACCAGGACCGTTAAAACAAGAAATGCTTTATAGAATATTTGCAATAAATAAATGTGAACTTATCCACATATTTAGCCGACAAGCTGAGGTAACCGTCCTTTGTCTGGGTTATGAACTTAAGCAAATGTGAGGGTGGATGCTAGGATAAATACACAGAGATCCTGTTACGCAATTTATTTACAATATAACATTATTGCAGTATTCATTATTACCTCACCAAAAGTTTTGTATAAGCTTTAGCAACTCAGTATGTATATATTTAAAACATTGTATATACTCTGCGATGGTCAGGGTGACTATGTCGGAAGATCGGCTAAAGTAGTGGCGGTAGGGGCGTTTTCAACATCCAGCTGTTAATGTCCTTCCACAGTATTTCACGTTATTAATTAGTTGACGGTCATTGGACGCAGAAGTGTCTTACAGGCCGAAGTTGTAAGGTCATGGGTCAAACTAGGAAGTGGATATAACTCAAGAAACGGCTCTTCATATCAGCCTTATTATGGCTGTTGAAGTAGAAACTTGATCTGAGTTTACGTATTATTGCAATAGTGGCGGCCTTTTTTTTTTTCATTGCATTCCTCCATAGAGAGTGCTAGCGCACTCTGTGAGATATATAAGACGTTTGTGTGACCTTCCTCCACACTGTGTGTACACTGTGTTATAAAAAAGTTAATAAAGTTATTTTTTTGGTGTAAGGACGTGACGCCATCTATGAATGTAGTTAACGTTAACTTACGTCAAATGTAATAAATGCTCAATAACAGCAATAATGACGGATGGAAGGGATTATGAACCTACATTAACATGCCCCTTGTTCCAAACTATCATCCCACAAAGTTTGTTTGAGATTGGCCCAGCGATCTAGGAGTAGTTAGATAATAGACAGACACACATTCTTTTGTACTTTTTTATATATACATTACAGATACACAAAATGTCGAAACCTTTTGTAGTTTTTATTTATATTCAAATGAAAATATTGCTAAAATACATAGACGTTAAATCTGTTTAAAAAAACAACTCATTTTACTTATTTTTATTTCATACAAGTAAAGTCCACATAAGATAAGAATATTCGACGAAAATACTTCCTAGGTATCCATACAAAAGCCTTTCCTGGTGTGGATATGTCTTGAGCAAACCAAGGTATTTCAAGTTTATATGTAATTGATTTTAATCACACGAATAAACCAAAACCATTGAAACATAAGCTAAGTAAATTTGTTAGCCGAAAATCTGAAGAAACACTATTGCCATTTAAACCGAATACAGGTAAAATATTTCAGCTGCAGCTTCAGTGGTGGATGCCTTTTGAGTTAATGTTGCTTTTGTTTTCGAAAGATCTTCAGGAAATCGGTATTTATTTAAAATATTTTTTTACAACTTCATATGCATGTTAAACGTAAACTAACATTAGTTATACAGAGGCAGAGGGAGGCAATAGTTATCAAGCTCTATTAATTCTGGTCTGAATTCGTGACAAAGGCTTGGTTTTAAAAGTTATTAAGTATTGTTGAGGGTAAGCTGACGCTACGATCTATAGTTATAAACACAATAGTGGTTCTTAGTTTAAAAGGCAGATTAAAAGCTTATAAACTGTTTGGAAACTAAGGATAACTAAAAATTCAAATGCTTAGATTAATAAAAAGGGAACAGTTATGTTGAATTAAAGCTGTACATTTGATTCTTCTTAATATGATGTTTTATTTCTTACGTTTTATTCAATAGTTGTAGAGTAAATGTTTTTCGAAAAACGCTGAAAATATCGGCCAAACAGCCTAACCGTTTTCACCACGTCATCGCAGCAAACCCAGTTTGAAGCATGGAAAACGTGGCGTAACATCCCTTGTGTTTTATGACACAAGTCTTTTAGCGGAAGATCATTTTTATGTTATCACGATAAATTTTGTAGCGAAAAATCATGTGTATTTTTTTGACGTCAGTAAATTTTGTGGCAGAAAATCATATGTTTCATGACAACATGTTTTCTGGCGGAATATCATTTGTATGTTATTACAAGTTTTGTGGAGGTACATCATGTGTGTTTTATGGAAGTAAGTCTTATTGCAGAATATCGTTTTTTTAGTAAATCTTGTGGCAGAACATCATGAACAATCTGAGTTTTTTCTTTAAATAGACACCATACCTATGCTTTAAATAATTTTTTCTATGTGTATAGACGAAGGCTTAGTTAGAACCTATCTTTTCCCACATGACACAGCGTAGAAGTAATATCATTAAATTATGTTTATTATTACAATGAAAAGTCCTATTAATTCTCAAAGAATTAGCATTCTTTACTTTCCTCTTTTTTCTTACAAAAATATCGCCACTTTAATCTCGTACCTGAGAACGTACGTGGAAAATATTGAAACGTTTTCTGATTAAAAATCAAAAAAAAAAAAGCTAGCAAGTTAATATGTACATAAGCGTAGTGGAATGTTGAAATATAAAAGCACAGACTAGAAGAAAGTTAACATGTATAGGCGCGTCGAGTCACGTCCTCATTCACTATCCTCCAAAGACAAAGCCACTGGAAAATGAGTGGTCTCACTAGTCAAAAGGCTCATGTTTCAGTCCAGGGGGAATTCAGTAGATAATTAATTTTAAAGCACACAGATGCTAAACCATAAATATTCTGATCCGTATCCCTTGTATCTTCAAACAACGGTATTTTCAGAAGACAGAAACAACAAATAAGAATTCTGACAATAACATTTCTAGGCAAACAATATAAAGCATTTTTCACAAATAAATGTAACATACTTAGGTATACAAGGAATTAGAAGAGTACCAGTGCAATTCCTGCACATTGAAATTCTACTAAAGTTAGCAATCTGTCTGATTGAATTGTGGTCGTCAAAGGTACTTGTTGGTGTTTGTTGAAAATAAATAACAATTGTTCATGACTGGAGGTGTCTGGATTTTTTTGGGGGTTTGTAAACAGCAATTTGTATGCAAATATACAAAAATATTTAGAAAATAGTAAATGATTTGCTAATTGAATAAACTTATTGAACTAATAATTTAATAAAACAAATAGTATAATTTGAAATTATAGTTACAAAACACAATTTTTGGTGAAGAGAAGAAGAAAAAATTCCCTGTTCTAGTAATTTTTCAGTTAAGTTTGTATGAGGTTAAATTTTTAAAATGGTATATTTCTGTAGGTTTACATCTGTATACAGTATACAGTTATTTTTATATACCGTTAAATTTACTCATCAACATTTATATTTGTGATAAACGTCATGTGCACATTTTACTATGAATGCTGAAAACGACACACATTTTTGAGGACCAATATTTATGTAGAGTTTTAATGATAATACTTTGGGTTCACATGACTACAGCGGGTTATTTTTTATTATATTCATAACAAGTTAGGTGAAACTATATCAATACTACTGAGTGCTAGAAAATCTAGAAGGGATTTTAAAGTGTAAACTAGAACACACCTCTATAGACAAAGTGGCCATATAGTGCAGAAATGACGTCATTCAACGTTGCGATCTTAATAGATATATAGTGGGAGTTAATTACGAAAACCTCCCAAGAGTGGTGCTCATCACAAGAATAGTATATATATATATATACTTATTATTCTCATTTCCAATGGCTGACGTGCTTTTTTTTTCAGTTTATTGGAAATCTCTAAGCAGAAACAATCACATGTAAGGCAGCAAACCCTTCCACGTGAATATGATTAAAATATAAAGCAACAAGGTGACAACTATTTAATCTATTATTAATCGATACATCTTTCTTAAAGGGAGTACATACACAGTGGATGAATAAATGCACGCTAAACGCAAATAGAACTCGACGCGTCAATGTTGAAAGGATCGCAAGACTCGGTAACTGTTCTGTACTTCCTCACGGATACTTTATCTTGACAATCGTATTTATGAAACGACTTTTATTCTTGGGCACAGATGTCTTAGAAATGTTTCTTAGCAAAGTGACTTTCGGCAGACTTGATCATTTTCCATTCCTTTCTTAAACATTGGAAACTTGACTTCCTTCCTAGAAAGAAATATAATATATATATACATATACATTAACCTTCTTGTCCTGTCTCCTAGCATGAAATAGCAACTTGAAACAAAACTGATAAATAATGCTTCATTATTTTGCTATAAAGAAAACGCTTTTACACCAAAATTTTAACGAACAAATATGCAGGATTTCCTAGTACATTTCTATGTTAAGGGTTTGTTTGTTTAAGTTAATTCCTTCATTCTTTTCTGAGTCTCGTTTATATTTAAAACTTTATTTGTTTCCGAATTTCGTGCAAAGCTACAGAAAATCTATTTGCACATAACAGTTCTTAATTTTGAATGGATAGACTAGATGGAAAGCAACTAGTCAACAGTATCTACTGCTAACTCTTGGGATATTCTTGTGAGATCGAATAGTGGGATTTGACCGAAACTCTTACAAGGCACCCAAGACCTCAAAGAGTGGAGCGAAATTTTTTGCAGCAACAATTCTCGAACTTCTTGGATTCACAGTCCGGGTTTATGGAAAAAAGAGTTAATGCGAAGAACTCTTGTCTATTGTGTAACTTAGATTTCACAGACGTGATACCTGATCTCGTACTTGGTTTAAATTAAAATGAAAACGTTGATCCTTGAAGAGAAGCAGCTATAATGATTATATATTCTACTTCATTCGTTTCTGGAATCTATGAAAATCGCAAAAAAACAACAACAACAACAACAAAGAAGGTTGAATGATTTAGTACTGTTTATTTAATTACGTTGAAAGCTGTGGATGGTGTCTAATCCTTTTCTTCTTTCTGGTATTATCGTATAGTCTGGAAAATCAACCTTTAGCAACATATTTTAGATTTTAAAAAGAATGTCAAGATTAGACACATCCATTAAAAACCGGCAATACTCTCTGAAACGTATGTTGTGGATTAATCTTTTTGTTTAATCGCAACTGTTGGTTGGCTAAGTAGAGCAGGTATGCATATTTAGGACTAAAGCGTCGTTGGCACATAACATTTCAGTGTAATAATAAACTAAAAATAAAACTAATTTCAAAAGAAGTTGTTGAATGCCTGCATACAAATATATATATATATATAAGTTTCCCTTGGTTATTGTTATTGAAGCTTTTGTATCCATAAGACTTTAGAAATGTCTATTTTCTACACATACATATACATACACAGAGTCCAAACCCAGATGTTGAACTGAAAGTTGAATTAAAACTGCCAAAAAGTTTCATATGCATTGTTTAAATAAAGATTTACAAAACGATGATATATTTACGAATATATTGATTAATCCTGCTCATTGTTTCCTTTCAGTGTATATGTAGTCACGTGTGCATTTACGACACAAATTTGAATACACTGTTTGCGATGACAAAATTAATTTAATGTACTGATGTAAAATCTACTTGACAACTCTGGATTATGTCATGACGTACGTAGTTCAGAAAGCAATGTCTGAAAATAGGTAAAAGATTAAACTAGTCGTCAGAAAGGGAAATGGGATCAATTTTGGTTGCAAGTTTTTCATGACTTCTCGTGCTTCTCGTGATTGAATGGTCCGAGGTTCGACACGTAATGCCACTGAACACGCTCCGCACTTTCAGCTGTGAGCGCGTTATAAAACTGAGCCACTCCCATTATTCGGTTCAAATGAACTGTACATAGCCTTTGTGGTAGCGGGTACTGCTGGCTGATTGCCTTACCAATGGTCAATAGTTCGTATAGTGCACCTGAAAACTATGGGTCTCTGTACTTGCTGTAGAGGTTGAAAATACCAAGTCTAATTTTTGTTATAGTTTTCATTAAATTGCACCATTCATTTCTTAATTGCTTGTACCCACTTGTATTACTCACCATATAAATAATTGGTCCCGTTTGTAGTAACTCTTCGTCAAACATTAAACTGCACTTTCCCTTCTATTGTTCATTAAAGGTGTTTCACAGGAGACGCCACATTCTTCCTCTTCTGCTTCCAGCTGCTTTCCTCTAAAGTCGATTTTAGCGTACTCCGTTGGTGGCTCCTGCCTTCTAACCACTGAAGAAGACTGGCCAGACCTAGGTAAGGCTAATTCAGCGTACGTCACATCTTCGAGCTGTATTATATTTTAAAGTTAGATAAACAAAAGTTATAATTCAACTAAGAAGGAAACTTCTCTCCAGTGCTAAAACATCTACAAAATATTTGATAATGGTATCAAACATAAAATTATTGTTTTTAATCCCCAAACTCGACCGTCTACTACTCAAGGGAGTCTACATATGACATCATATTGAGTAATTATATGTTTTTACCTTCTAGAATACTCAATGTTAGGAGGTACCAAAAATAATTAGGTAAAACTACTATTTTTTTGGCCTACAATACATAGGAAACTACAGCAATACCTAATGGGATTAACACCAATACTGACGGTATCTTTGTTTAATTTGTTCTTAATTTGTCATTCATCTGTTATTAGGGATTGACAGACCAATGAAGTCATGGATAGATTTTACAAACGGTATGGCATATGAAGGTAAAATTGCACAGGGATGTTAAGGGTACCACGCAAAAGCAAATTCCACAGTTCTCACATGTTGCCACCAGGGGCACCACTAAAACCTAACGACTGACCAATCACAGAAAGAAACTGTTCAAAATGCGTTCCTTCAGTATCCAGAATGCACTGCATTCATATGACAACAGACATTACAGCAACAATGCTCATCACATCTAGTATTCTGGCCACTTCATGGGCAGTTGCATCCTTTAGGTCTGGAATTATGCAAATCTGGTGTTAGGTCTAGTGAATGAGGTGGCTGTTCAAAAGGAAAATCCTGAAACTTCTCCACCTAGACGTATTTCACCTGGTTACCAATACATGGAGTGACAACATCCAGCATGAAAACATAGTGTCTATTACTTTCTGCAGCATGGGGATCACATTGGTTGAGAGAATTGCATGGTACTGCGCAGTACTATTACTTTCTGCAGCATGGGGATCACATTGGTTGAGAGAATTGCATGGTACTGCGCAGTACTATTACTTTCTGCAGCATGGAGATCACATTGGTTGAGAGAATTGCATGGTACTGCGCAGTACTGACTGTGAAAATTT